TCTGAAATCCTTTTAGCTAGAAGCATCTGCCAGAAAAACCAGTGCCGTTAGCGACAAAAATCTGCGTCGAGTTATGCAAAAAACGCATCTTCGCACTGGCAGCCCGTGCATTGGCCAATTATTTTATACCATATACATGCCATGAGCAATAAGTTTATTTTACCACTGTTTGTTCGTGATCGTAGTAATTTCCCAGAAATTCAAATTTCTAATTAGTTACACATATCTCGACCAATCACTGTTTCACTAACACGTTTTTTCCCACCGGTTTTGCGATTGACAATTCCCCAACTTTCTATTTCGGCTTCTCTTTTCCACAAATATAAAGTCTCCAATGAATCCTTTCGCCGCCACTCCAACCGCTCTTCCTGTGTTCTTTTAACACCACATGGTTATTACTTAATAAAACGATTTTCCTGCTATATTTTTTGCTAAACTTCCAGCTCCTCTCTTCTTCCTGGCGTACACAGTCTTGCTAATATACTTGAACTGAGGCAGCAGCATCCCACTAGCGAAGTGTTGCAACTTGCTGGCATAAACTGTCATGTCCTGCTCTACAGCTTGTCCGGTCCCTCTAAGCTTTTCCGCCCTGTGAAAGTGGTATTTCATGTTTCAATTCCGCGCAACAAAGGTGGAAGCATAACGGAAAACTGGTACGCTTTTGATCAGCTTCAAGAAGGCTGCAAAGCTCCCACCGGATGACACTGCCTGTACCCATCGAAAAATTAGCATGTTAACCAAAGCGGAGATTAGATTTTGAAATGCATACTTGCTAGTCCCTTCAAGAGAAGCCCACCTGTTTTCGGCAAAACAGGTTTTGCAGGAGATAGACAAAATGCGTGGGACTGTGTAGACATCATGCAAACAGCACCATCTTTTGAAATAACTGACTTAAATGCACCGAACAAACAAGTATACAAAAAGAAACGACAAGCATCATTACAGAAACAGCAATTTTTGAATCCAAAACACGGAGACACAGGCAAAACAATTCATATGTGCACACTTAATTACAAATATAACTAAAACATTACGTGTACAGACGGGAACAAATCAAAAATTATCCGAAGTGCACAGTGTTTTGGTTTAAATTGTTTCAGATTTGTACCTGTGTGATTGTCCTGTCAAACGCTAAATGAAAAAAAAAAAAAAACTATTAGCATCGATAAATTTATTTTAAAACAATGGCAGAAACGCCAAAATTGTGCGCTTCGGATAGCTGCGCTCTCAACTTTGGATATTTGAATGAAAATCACGGACATAACTGCAAATGAGGAATGTAGAATGAAAGTTATTACATGAAGCTGTGAAAAAAAAAAAGGAAAAATGGTGATGAAAGTAGAGACAAAAATCCACTCCTTGGTACGGCGATGCGTCAGCCGCTGTTCTCTAATGACGACACCTAACTATGCAATGTAAACGTATACGTTCATAGGTAAGCCAAATTGTTCTGTTTTTGATACAGTGTTCGTTTCTATGCGAGCTTTGATTGCTCGTTGCTATGCTATTTTGGATATCTCCACCACACTGTTATTCCCAAACTACCAATAAAGTGGCGGCTTGAGTCCTACACAAATCAGTCAACCACTTTAAGAAGTCGATACGAAATTAAGGTTAACCGAAACGGGTGCCGTGACATCTGACATCACTTTCGAGCTAAAATTATCTGAATTAATGAAACAGAATAATCGCAGTCATAGCGCAAAAACTAAAACGTGAGCTTTTAAATGTGTGACAGAGGAAACAGAGAGGAAAAGGAGTGGTAAGAGAGTATGTACTAAATCACGTTATCAAATATGAATGCGGTAAAACTGCTTGCATTCCATCTGCACACTTCATAAACACGAAGTTCACGATCTGGCTATGGGCAGTGCTAACCATCAGTGAACAGTGTGCGTCATGCCAAGGCTTATATTACACAAGTGAATAGTGCGCCATACCAAAAGTCAAAGTCATACCAAACATTGCGTCATACAAGCGAGCTGCATCAAAGCCCAACATATGCCACTACTTGGTAACAGATCCCGGGAAACAGTATCCACATTATATCTGGATATGATAGCATGCCCTGCATTATTTCAAATGTTAAAATGCTTTTGAATGAGTAAACAATTTTCCGTTGCGCATCTCTGACAGGATAAACTTTTCTGGATGTATGTGATCCCACGAATTTTTGACATTACCAACCGACACGCCTAGGCCTCTTTCACTTTATCTTCTACCTTATGCGAGGCGTCCTCAGAGGAGTACTTCGTCTATTATTCAACTGCACAACAACCTGCCCCTTCCACATGCAAAAAAAGGAAAATAAAAAATACTGAAGAATCCTCCTTCCGCTCCTGAAGCAGGCTATGTCTGAAATCCGTTATTAAGCAATGGCATTTGGGTTTCAATATACATAGGTGATTTCAGCAAGAAATTCGCATGAAAAGAATGACGGAAAAACTATAGTCAGGCTAAAAAAGAAAACTTAAAAATCAAAATTCCCAAAGTCCATCAAAGTTTTTAACAGCTACATCCGACACTTACTGATAAAAGTCATATCCATGATTTGCAATAAAAACATATTTACAAGAAACAAATATTCAGGCCACTTCCTGTAAAATTCGTCGCAGCGAACCTTGTGCGTCCAGACATTGGCCATTTGCATCCAGTGTGGCCAAACACAGTTTATCAAAGCTGCAGATAAACGGGAGCGACATATCGGCATTAACCATGCTTTTGCCTCCTCCACTTCCTCTTCTTCCAGCAATTACACGTGGTGAACACGGCACGCTTTCACACTGCTTATCCGACGCGTTCAGGCCATCGCTGTGGCACAGTATGGTATAAGCCGAATTTTCCACATCTACCTATAGGAGAAAAAAAAAAGAAATAAAGTAGCAATTTCATTGTAAACTGAGAGAAACTTTTGCAAATTACACTATTTGATATATCAGAAGGCAAAAATATGGATGGCCACCAAAGAAACAGTGTGCGCACATGGGGTGAGATCCGCTGAGATCCACTTTTATCTTCATTTGCATTTTTCTTCACTTCTCTTATCGCTTTCTCTATTACAAAATTATTCAGATTTTCTCAATCGTCAATCATATTAAACCATTTTATGGTATAATCTTCGAAACTTTTTGAAAACCAACCTTTCCTTTCATCTGACGGACGGTTTATATTGTCAGTCTTTCGCGAGACAACAGCGCGTCTTACCCGGTACGACATTTTACAACCCTTTACTCAACGGCGACGCCGCTCTTTCGTTGCACAGGTCAGTATGGCCTTCCAGCGCTCAACCTGCTCTCTAATTATTTAACTTTGTTACATAACAAATTACTTTGTTAAGTAACAAATGTGTTATAAAATGCATAACTTCCGTATAGGTGCGCATACGCTACGCTATAATCTGCTGACCAAACACAAACTGGACAAAAACTTCCATTCAAAATGACAAGATTTGTGCGAAGAGCGCAAAAATGATTCGAACCTCGACTGTTGTTACACAGGCTGCTTTATCGTTCTCGTTCGGACTATTATCGTCGAACATCTCTGTCCCAGTTGGAGTAGGCGCAGCGGCCACATCAACTTGCTGCTCGGCATCAATTCCCGGACCAACAATTGTCTGGTCCATTTCCGATAAAGCCACTAATGAATTCGTAAGGGCCTCCATCATGACAGCCTGCTTGCTAAACACCTAGAAATGAATCGAAACTGAAAATATGCGAAATTTCCACATCGGGATGCAGGATCAACAAGTAAAACAGGTAAGAAATGGGGGAAAGAAGCCCGGACAGGAATCACAGAAACATCACCATTCAACGGGTTGGCGCTACAAATCAACTATGATGAGTAGATGATGAGCAGTACACTATCACCACATTCTGCTAAAAATACAAAAACAATGGTGATAAAATTATATCTCACCAGCTTTGCTGCTAAGCGATTAAAAATTTGTAGAAATTTTAAAATCCACAGTCAAAACCCAACATGATCAAAAATTCAGAAAAGGCATTCCGGGGAGCATCAGCGAAATCGGACAAAGATAAAAAGCAGATATCGACAGAACATTATACATTGCTTGTAACATTGCGCACATTATAAGATTTCGTGGATCGAAACCTTTCTTCGTAGCTTCGGAAATTCTTCTAATCTTTCTTTTATAACTACTCTATTTCCTTTTTCCTTTTTTACTAAAAATTCTGCTACTCATAAATGTGGAAAACGGACCTGGAGTAGTTTTGTCTTTTCGAGGACATCCAGTGCTTCCGTTTCAACATTAACTGCCACGTCAAAGTTGCGTGAACTGTCGGGAAAACTAAGAAGGAAACAAGGAAAATCTAATACCTCAGTCACTTGCGCAGTTGCTTCAAAATCCCTGAAAAAAAAAAAAA